CATCTTTTAGACACTCGGAGGAAGTACAAGAAGCACATATCCTACAAAACAACGCTTTCTTGCAGTGTGCATCAAAGGCACTTCTGTGGCAATGTAGAACTTCTAAGTTGTAACTTCTAAGGGTTGTAAGTGCGACGCCTTTGCTGCAGTGTCAAGAAACAGCACTGCCTTTTGCTTTGTACCCACTTATGATTGTCGTCATCGTTGGATTGAAAAATAGTAGGAAGCAATACTCTCTGTTAATATTCCCCATAAATCTCTGACATACTTAAATGACAGTCCCATAACTTCCCTAAACGAGAGCTTGCGGTCAGATTGTTAAAACATCATAAACTGTATTTACAAGGCAGGTTTTACAGTCTCTCTGAAAATGTAAAGATGTGGTGGTGATTTCGGGATGTGGAGGGCCGACTCGGTCAGATAGATCAAACAACCAGTCACTGTGAGCACGGGACTCAGCCTTTTGATCAATTTTATCAAAGCCCCCCACTTCCAGACTGTTAAGGCTAATTTAGAACTATCAGATAATCAGATATCTCTTTTGGTTTTGCATTTTAATGGAACAAGGTCTCCATGTTTTTAAGTGCTCCTAAATCAACATAAGCAAAGATTAGCAATGCATTACCTTGCATATTTTCTTAAATAAACCATAGATCCATATTCTCTTGTTCAATGTTCTCTTTTCACCTTTGTATTCGTTTCCAGAGGTGTCATCTGCAGCACCGAAGATGCACTTTGCTATGCAATATTGATAATGAATCTTTGTGCATTGGCATGTGCAACCTCCCATCCTTGTGTTGTTTACTCGTAGCACCTGTGGTCGCTTTGTTAACAGGAAATAGGAAGTTGCTAACTTACATCTTGCTCTGCCATGACTTTATTGTTGATGCAACTGATGTAGCTGCCTCCTCAGACGTCTGACGTGACTTCTGGGCAACACACATATATATTATTCAGTGCAAAGAAAAGAGCAATCCATCATGAACGGTTTTGATCATATGTGCTGTATTACCCTTGCTACAGTTTAGTGATGGCCATACCTGTGGTTTAGACCAGCCTTATATGCTGTACAATATTATTTGACATTGCACCAGGATCAGCTTAGATACACTATATAAGATAGCTATCCAGTCAGTACAAATATAGCACAAGCATGTGATCACATGCCACACTAACGCTACTGAAATCCAACTTGACACAGGACCCCCATCAGCATGTGCAGAAGGCCAACATAGTTTCACACATACAGTACAGAACACACACACGAGACAACTGTATATTCATTTATAATTCTACAAGGCTAATGCATCACAGATCAGTCCGACTCAGTTTAGTATTGGACATCCATAAATGTGGGGGAATTGAAACAGCAGAGGCTGAGATATCCTGACATTTAGTTCTTAGCATGAGTCAGCTTTACAAACACTGGATCCTATATTTCTGCCTGTTAAATGCACTCATCTTTCAAACTTCATGCCCACAGTTATTAACACAGGTTTTCTCCCAGATATTCTGCCAAAGGTCTCAAGCCCATCTCATAATGACACCGGTGACATCACATTGATATCACCAGGGTTATTTTTATTCCCAATATTTTTTTTTTTGTTATTTTATCCCTATGTATCCCTTCATAGACACAGATTTTCTTCTTATGTGTCAAATCGGTGGAGTTCCCCTTTAAATTCTACCTGAACGTCACACTGTCAGCTGTTGACAGGCGGGATAGTTGTTACATTTTTGTAGGTCAGCCATTCTCCAACAATTCAATGTAAATACCAACAGGAGGATTCATATTCGGTTTTTGACAACCCAATGCTGGTTAACCACCTGTCAAATTCCTGCCTTGAAAACCAACACAGCATGGGGACCGAGAAATTCATTCTCCCACACACACTCTTTTTCCTCCCCTCTTTTCAGAACACTCAAATTATATCATTAGTTAGTTTTAGCACCAGCGGGAGGGCATCATATGACTGCTTCTCCATTCAGGCTCCTTGTTGTTTGCCCAGCTTTCCTCGCAGTGAGCTACCTCTCTGCCTCTGCCCCGTCTTTTTTGCCCATGCAGGTCTGCAGGGGAAGAGCCCTCGAGCTAATTAGAGGCTTGCCAGTGGAATTTCACTGCGACAAAGGGAGCTATTCATGTCGGCAGGATGGTGAAAAGGCCGCACTGGCAGCAGTGATAGCATTGCTCGGAGGGGTTAGCAAAATGAAGAGACTTGACTTCCAAAGACACCCAAGCTCTCAACTCAATGCACTACCCCCACTGCTCTTTGTTTCTGTTTTGCCATCTATCATCTTCTGTTGCTCTGCAGTGTGGATCGGGTAGATCTGAGTTGGCCCCTGTCACAGACCGTTGGCACAGGGGCTAAATAGTTGACCTCCCATCTGACCATCTTGTCCTCAGTGAGTTGATCTGGTGTCTGTGTGGCATGTGTGACCCATATTTCTTCAATGCACTTTTCATTCCAAACCGCCATACACTGCACAGACACAATCCATTTCACCGCCTCTCACTGTTAGTCCACTGCCACAGAGATCCTTTGTGTAAACTCAGTGTATAACCTTTAGCCTCATTTATTAGAAAAATTAGTGATGTTGCACTTCTGTTTTACTTCCATCCATCAAACTAACCATCCGTCTACCCATCCATCTCACCATCCTTTCCTCTCCGCATCATTTGTGTAGGAAAATAGATTCTTTATGTTCAGACAGAGGGGAAACCCCCTCCATGTACTATGCAACCCACCCATGTCTTTTTCATCACATTTTCCATGCATGCTATAATGGATCAAATTCTCTCCGACAGCGTATGTAATTTTAAATCCCTGTATCAACATATGTGGTGATGTAGTGCATTTTCTGGATTATAAATTTAGAGACTTAATTGTGAACATTCATTCTTGACCACAGTTGATAAAAAACAAAACTTTTGGAACTTTGACTGCATCTTGCAGTCTTCTTCAGTAGATGGAGTTTATTCACAAAAGCTAGTGATGGATTTAAGGAACTGTTGATAACATAAGCCGACAGAATTAGCTGTTTTTGTAAAAAACTAGTGAATAAAATACCAGAAAATTCAAGATTCACTTGATGGCTTTTTCCAAAGCTTTCAACCATGACCAATGGTAGACCTCAGCAGATGGGCTTTACTCAGAAAAAGTTAGTAAGGGGACTTTAAGTTGAGGACTTTTTTGTTTACAGTGTGTATAAAATAACCAGACAGGAAGGTCTGTTTTTGGATAAGCAAGCAAATTAAATTAATTAAATATGTGAAAAGTCAGTTAATTTCTTCACATTGATGCAAAATCAGCATCAACCAAAACTTGTTGATTTTTTAACAGCGCCTGCAATAGCCTAACATTGACAATTGATGAATTTATATCATCTCACAGTATACATGATGATTCCGTCCAACAATAGTGTTCACACATGTACTTGAAACTGTAACATACATAACCAGCATGTATTAGATGACATTATTACAGCAGGAGACACTGACTCTTTGATAGACACTTCCTAATTTCACAACACAAACATATCCACAAATAGAAAGTCAGACACACACACACATGCATTGCCTCTAGCACTTCCTGTCCCATGGGACCGTGAAGACATTAACAGCTTCCTCTTTCCCTTCCTGTGTCAAAGCACTTTCCAGGTTAGGTGGTTTTCTTACCTTCATCTTTCTCACAGATTTTCTCACATTTCTGGATATTTTCTCTTCATTCGGTCTCTCTTTTCCTCTCGTCATCTGTTTCTTTTTCATTCTCTCTAGCTCCCCTTTGTTGTTGTGTTGGTATTTTTGTGGAATTTTGTGCAGTTTCTATGGAGACACAAGGCATTATGAATTGTTGCAGGGATGAATTGTCTATAAATGCTGAGACATTTTGACATTGCATTTCGTTTTCCCCAGATATACATGTTAGTAAGGTACAGCTACAATCACATTTTCCCTTTGTGATTTATAGGAACTGCCAGATAGGAACTAAAGTCAAAGTCAGCGTAGCAGAACCTATCTGCCACTCAGCTGACCACTGCACTGAATCGCTGCTCTTTTGCATAAAGCTGAAGTCCGCTGAATTTTCTCCCGTTGCCAAGTCGTTAAAGTCTCGCAGTCGTCACCCCGCTCTGTCAGTTCTTGTTTTCACGCTTCAGACTTGAAATAAAAGACTTCTGTTCTACCTTTTGTTGGCACCTCTAGTACAAGTGTACAATTATTCATATTGCTGTAATTTTGTTATGTCACTGTCAGAAAGAATGGAAATAAGAACATTTCCCAGAATGCTGAACCGCTTCTTTAACCATATGGAAATTTGGCAGTTCGCAGCAGATAGCAGCAAGCTTGGCACACGAATGCCGCACCAACTTCTTCTCTGAGATGACGTCAAAGTTAGACTCTAAATGTAGCAGACGTCTGTAGTTATGAATGCTAACATCTGCCTGATGTCACTCTGTCAGTCTCTAGTTCCAATGCTGATATTAGAACCAGTAATGCTAGCTGTAGGAGGATGCTTCTGCACTTAATATAGCATGACTGTGACGCAGGCCCTTAGATACGCGTTTGGCTTTCATGTGAGGTAAACAGGCGGGGGCTTCTGAGGTCACAGTTCTGTTTTCTCCAGGGAAGCGAGGGGAAGAAAAAGATGGAGAGGAAGAAGGAGAAAGGCTGTGAAAAGAGAGTGAGAGAAAGAGGCAGACAAATAGGAACAGTTAAGGAAAGAGGGAACAAAGTCTTTAAGCTAAGAAGAAATAGAGGGGGGAGAAGGGATGAAGGGAAAGAAGTTAACAGAAAAAAGACAGACAGGGAAAGAGAGAAAAGTAAGCACGAGGACAAAGCAGGGATCACAGGGAGGAGGGTGGGTAGGGTGGGTGTCCATGCCGGCTGTATGGTCTTGTTTGTTTTCTATATACTATATCCCTCCCTTCCTCCTCCCCTCCACCCGCCGCCCTCTTTCTCAGCTGCTCACCCACCCTAACAATCCTCTTTTTATTTCTTCCAGGGCGGAGACAACACAGACCACACGACGCAGGAGGCCTGGGGAAATCATTAACCGCACACAAACACATACAATATGACTGGTAGGTTCTTCCCATCTCCCTCGTGTGTTTACTACATGTATGTTTACCATGTGTGTTCAAACATCACAGACTCAGACTGTTTTGATTCATTATCTGTATCTCTTCTACTGTCTTCATTCTCTTAATTGTGCACAGCGATTTGTCACATGTGCATTGTGTTCTCTCTCCAGTCGCACTCGCAGTTCTGTATCTTATAACAAGGAAGCTTCAGTGACACCCACTGATGAGTTGCCACAGGTATTATAAGGGGTGTGATTTCCACTGGATACGAGGGTGTCATGTTACCCTCACTTTCCAAAATCTGATGTTGAAACCTTTCAAGTTTCAGTTTGATTTACACAGTACAATCCCTTTAAACAGTGTTGTCTACAGTCCAGCTATCCCAGTTTAGATGACGTCATCTCAAGTTCATAAAAATGTTGACACGCTCATCTGAGTCACCTTGAGTCATTGCTGTGCGCTCACAGGAATATTAAGCTTCTTCAGAAGGAGTGAGTGCTTTGTCAATTATTATTTTTGTTTGACCTGTGTTTTGGCTGTCAGGTTCAATACAGGTATTTCAGTTTGGGTTTTTTTTTGTAAAGCCTTTTATGCCTTTTGCTGAGAATTGACAATAGAGAGATAAAGAGAAATCAGGGGGAATGACGTCGAGGCTACAGTCAATATTTTTACAACAATGTAGGTAATGACGGTGTGAAAAAAATGTGACAACATGAAAGGAGAAGCTCGTAGCAATGATTCATCCGAATCTGCTACTCACCTCAGCTTTAGAGAGCTTTATAGTGATTTTCAACTCAATGTTTAGCTGTCCACTCTAACCGCTCTCTTGGTGTCATTTCTAGCCGGAGCAGGCCGCGGTTTTCAGCAGAAAATCAATAGAAACCAATACACTACCTGCTCAGCACCAAACAGCACACGGACACAGTCAGTGACTAGCTGGTGGGCATAGTGGAGCGTTCAGCAGCTGAAGAGTCATTTCCTCAGGAGATAGTGGACGCCAAAAAGAGAGCTAAAAGAGAGTGACAGGTGGCTCAGAATAAAAAGATAATGTTGCTCTTTAACTGGTGGATGTGTAAATGAGCAACTGTTTGCTAACAGGTTCGCCCTAACTCTTTACATGATTTTCCATTTATCTTATTTATTCACTAGTTAGCGACGTAAATGGAACCATTGTCTTAGTCTCAGTTCTCTATCAATTCACCTAAATATATTTATTACAGCACAAATACAGACATTTTGGCTGTATGTTTAATTCTTCTGTTTGATCTGTGAATCAGAAAGTGCAGGCAGAGCATTTAAGTTTTCTTCATTTAGAAACTGTGTTTGAAGTAATTGGAATGCCTGAGGGAATGTATATATACATATATTTTACATGTTTAATCTACTGGTAAGCAGCTGAAGTAAAACTGATTCATTTCAATATTTATGTTTTTGGTCTTGTAGTATTTCCTCATTCAACTATTTGACATCATGAATATTTGACATCATTGCATCACACTTGTCATAATATCTTGCAAGGTTTTAATGGTTATTAATGACAAAACTTGCTATGAGTAAATGTTTTTTCCCTGAGGAACTCTGCAAGGCAGGAATTTGAAATAACCAAGACTTTTATTTAAATTATTTTTCCATGACTCTGCAAAAGCATCTTCAGCAGTCACCAGACTCTCCTCTCATCTCCTCTCCTCTCATCTCCTCTCCTCTCCTCTCCTCTCCTCTCCTCCTTCCCTCTCATCTCCTCTCCTCTCCTCTCCTCCTTCCCTCTCATCTCCTCTCATCTCCTCTCCTCCTTCCCTCTCCTCTCCTTGCATCCCCTCTCCTCTCCTCTCCTCTCCTCTCCTCTCCTCTCATCTCTTCTCATATCCTCTCTTCCTCTCCTCTCGTCTCCTCTCATCTCCTCTCCTCTCCTCTCCTCCTTCCCTCTCATCTCCTCTCCTCTCCTCTCATCTCTTCTCATATCCTCTCTTCCTCTCCTCTCATCTCCTCTCTTCTCCTGCCCTCCTTCCCTCTCCTCTCCTCTCCTCTCCTCTCCTCTCCTCTCTGCACAGCTGGAGAGAATGGGGAAGCGCATAATTGCAGTTTAATCCTGCACTAAGTCCCTGCTGCATTAGGGAAGCAGCAGTGAGAGATAATGCATAGCAGCTCAGGCAGAGTGAGACAGAATAACCCCAAGAGTTGTTTGGACAGATGTTTGGTGAGAAAGGCTTTAACGGTAGAGAGCTCATACTGGACCAAAGGGGACTGGTGTCAGTCACAGGTTGAAGTGCTACTTGAGGGAACCGGACACAGGTGATACAGAAGTGATTGCTGCTGTTCAAGGATAATAGCACAGGTTTGAAGCTGGAACTGATCAGTGTATCTCACTGTCCATGCACATATCGATAGTTTTATTCCTTTTCAAATAAAATGAAATAATAAAATCATTTTCCTGTGGCAGCCCCCTCATGTGCAGCATGTGCACATTAGGTTTGGTTGTGTCTGTCTGTCTTGCAGTGGGGGAAGAGGTTGTAAAGAAGTCACTTTTACTATTATAAGCATTTGACTGTGTCATAATTGGTTATGATACTGTTGTAAATAATTGACATCCAGGGTGTTGACCCCTGACCCCAAGTAAGAAAGGTTAATGACGTAGTTTGACTGGAGTTAAGGTTGCTTTGAGCAGCCTAAAGATTGTTGTTGCACAGTCAAATGGTATTTATAAGTTACGATGCTTTTGTGCGCTACATAAAAAGCCTCACATTTCATTGATTTGTTAGATTATTGATTCGACACCTTAAGAATTCATATAAAGGCATTTTGTACCTGGATTTTCTAGGCAAACCTAAATGAGTACATGTATATAAAACCTAAATGTGCACATGTATTTGATAAATAAGATTATATAAATAAATAAACACAAGCTTTCAGGTGCAAATTATTAAAACTTTCCTGAGCAGATCCAAAGAATTGGTATCGGGCATATTTTGGATCGATATCGGCTAAAATAAATACTGTACTATAGTCCGGTACTCTCCCATATTTGCAGCCAGCAGTGTACACAATATTCAGGTAATGCTCCTTAAGAAGCTCCGCAGCTTCTCGTTATTACAGCACCGACTGCCGCTTTCATCAGTTGAAATGACAAATATTGCATTAACATTAATTCAGTGAGAAACTTGATGGCAGGCCAAAAAAGCTGTTGCTGGTTCAGACAACTCTCTTCTGCTCTCTGCAAGCCGGTGCATTCCGAGACAAATCCCAGTGGGCCGCTGCATTAGTGGGCCATAAGAAAATCCATAAAGTTTTTACCGGCTGGCTCGACCCTGTCTGGCTCTTCACCAGCCCTGTGTGTGCCAGGATGCGCACGCTGCGTCACTGTCAACACACGCTTATGTCATAGGGTCCACACTACTGTTGAAGCCGTAAAATGGCGATAAACATTTGGGGTTGCAATTAAATACATTTACACTCATAGAGCCAAGTGCCCTCAATAACCCCCCTTCCTTCGGTCAAGGGAGGGCTGAATTTCTTTCCCAAGACACCCCAGACAGCAGCCTTCATGTCAATTTAAGGAGTCACATTGATCTCTTCATTGGAACGTCCATGTGTGCAAAAATATATACATATACATATGTGTTTATTGATTGCTTGAGCCCTAGAATATTTAACAGTTGCAAAGGAAAATGCAACTCTATACTTTCTGTCAGTAAAGAGAGCGTCTTCAATGTCAACCATTAAAAAGAGAAGCGCTGGTGATTCATGATGCTTGTAAAAGCTGTGAAATGTGCTCCCTACTCGCTGGCTGCAGCCGTGACCTTTCGAGCCACTTTCAAGCCGAGCTTTTCTATCAGAGTGGTCCCCATAGGACAGTATGTCCACGCTCTTTGGTTAGACGAAGGCCATGGAATATATGGGATTTCTCCACAGAAGGAGGAGAGTTTTCGTCAATGTGGAAAAAAAATCGTTAAGGAGGATATTTTAGAAGGTGTGTTTAGCTCCAGGAAGTGAGTCTTTCAGAGCGCGGATGGGGGTGGTGCAGACTTTAGACTCACACTTTTGGGTTCAGGGGTTGATGTGCATGTATGTGTGCAGGGGGGGGGGTTTACTGTTCGCATATATGCAGCCATGTGTCCATGTGAATGTGTGTCTGTTAGTGCTTGTGTGTGTCTTTAAGTAGGAGCCAGGCGGGGTGTTAGGCCGGGGCGCAGGCAGGCGAGGAGGTGGGATCAGTCTGCCATCAGTGGACTGGAGGCAAGCATTCTTAACACCTCGTAAATCTCACCTGGTGCTACAGGACCACTGCTGACATAGCTGCTGCAGTGCACACTCACACACATGCATACACACACCTCATACACACATGTACAAACTGTGTAGCATGCTCATTTTTTAGTGGGTGCATGCTGTATCCAGCCATGTGTATATATAGTAAGTGTTACTGCCACACCACACACACACACACACACACACACACACACACACACACACACACAGGGTAAAGTCAGAGCCAGAGAGTCAGTCATGTCAGCAGCAGCAGTGAAACTGGAAAACTGTAGTGATGTATAATCTGTCTGTATAATGTATCACATTTCATCCGTCCACTCTTTTGACATACACAAGAGCAAAGTAAAGTTCATTTTGGCAGAATTGTAGATGCACTGAATCACAACCATTGAATTAATCCGTCTTCCATTTGTCCTGGTCCTCATCACAATCCAGTGAGTCTCACGTTAGTGCTCATTGATTGGGTTCTTTTGGTAACATTAGTTGTCACTCACTGTCCAGACTCAGGCTGGGTCTGTTTTTCAGTGTATTTTAATATCTGTCAACTTTTTGTGACTCTAAGCCAGTTGGTGGTGTAGCCTAAAACAGGAGTCTATTGTTTATGGTCCCATTGTGTTTTAGTGGTTTTGATTTGATGGACAGTGATGGTAATGTTTAGCTTATTTGTGTCTTAATTATCTGTAATTGTAGATTGTAGTTGCGATTTTAGGTTTTTTTTTAGCCATTAAGAAAATCCT